AATCAAGATCCCCAAGACCGCCTTAGGGTTGTTGGTGCTACCTAGCCAATCGAGGATTTATATGCACAGCCTTATGCGGTATTACTTTCTGTGACGCCATATCACACGTGGTACCTAGTCTTCTCTACGGCTCGGGACTCCTTCCAAGAATTTATAATATAAAATTAAATACTACTATAATATAATCCTTATTTTCAAATATTATCAAAAAAAATTTTATTTAAATGTTTTAAATTTTTAAAAAAGTAGATTATAAGCAAATTTATAGTAATTTTCTAGACAAATTTGCCTGGAATTGCTCTACAGTTTAAGGAATAGAAGATTTATACAAGGATTTTTAAAAATAGTCAAACCTTTGAATCAGTTATTGCAAAAGAATAAACCTTATAAATAGAACACAGAACAAAATAAGACATTTAATACTCTTAAAAATCATCTTATAACCATGCTAATATTGCAATATCCAGATTTTAGCAAGCTATTTTACTTGCATACAGATGCCTCCACTCTAGATTTGGGAGCTGTTTTATTCCAACTTGATGAAAAAAATAAAGAGTATATTATTGCTTATACAAGCCAAAGTTTAAATAAGCATGAAAAGAATTATTTCATATCTAAGTTAGAATGTTTAGCCATTATTTAGGCTGTAGAACATTTCCACCAATACTTAGATTCAAAACCATTCTTTTTAGTAACTGACTACTCAGCATTATAGTGGCTGAGAATGTCAGAGTTAAAGAGTAAACATGCTAGATAGATTCTAAAATTAGAACTATACAACTTTACTATAATCTATCGTGTTGGAAAGAAACATAATAATGCAGATGCATTATCAAGACTACATGATAAAAATGATGAAGAAATACAACCTGTGTATTTCGTGGGCCTAAACAATAAAATAACAATAGATAATAAAGTTTTTAGTACCTCACCTTAAAAGAAATATTAGGAGGTAAGAAAACTTTTAAAACCAAATTTACAGAAACATGCGCTTTGGAGTTTATACCCATATAAACAGGTAGAATTTACACCTATAGGAATAAGATATGACAATCAGTATTGCACCTAGTACTATATAGAGCATATTAGTAACAGATTAGACACAAAAACAAAAGGTAAACATTGGAAGTATGATTGAAAAAGTTCTAATACGCAATGCTGGTGTGGTGATAAATTGTACTCACCAGAAGAAGTGTAAATGTAATCTAAGATTATAAATTACGATTAAAAACTATTCTATCCAAGAAATTGCCAAAAGCTACTGGGCAACACCCAACACTGAAGTTGAAGAAGAAACCATAGTGGACTCCTCAGAATCAAGTATAGGAATTAATTACACAGTGGATGAATGGTTGGATGAAACTCCTATTTGTCTTGAAAACCTAGTAGTTCAAGTTAATGAACAAATTAAAAAAGGTGAAGATAATTTTACAAACCAACCATGGTGGTTAGAACCATTGGAAACTCTATCAAAGAGACATTATAAGGAGTTTAATAACTTTAAAGATACTTATCTTTGTAATTTGATTTGGTGGAAAGTACCAAACCCTGTTCAATTTGTTTGAACAAAATCTCCTTTCTTCCCCATCCCCAAACAATGTAAAACTTTGCAGATCGGTCCCTACTACCATACAACTTATCAAAAACTATTTTTTTTTTTAAAAAAAAAAAAAAAAAGAAATTTAATAATTGAATAAAAGATAGAAAATATTAAATATCAACAACTTAGAAACTTTTTGGAAAAGGCAAGTTACCCACTTAAATTTAATACTAAACAGAAAAAGAAACTGGAGTTACAAAGTTAGTTTTACTTTATACAACCACTTGTTATATAAAGAGATAGAAGGAGAAAAACCCAGAACCAATTATTAAGAGTAATCAGGACTAAGAAAGTTGACCCATATTATACATCATGTACACCCATCCCTTAGGTATGCATATAGGAGTTAAAAAGATGTTTGACAAAATCCATAAAAAATATTATTGGCTACAGATGTATAAATACGTTAGAGAATATGTTAGAACATGTAATGTATGCCAGAAATAGAGTGTCTGGCATAGTGACAAAGGCATGCCAATAGTGGCATGCCCTGGCATGCCAAAAACAAATTTGGCATGCCACTGGGTACAGTATAAAAATTATACTTACAATACCCAAACCATATATATAGTATATATATATTATAAATAATATATAATATTTTATGGCATGCCTTTTGGCATGCCATGGCACAAATTTTAACAAAAGGTATGCCCTGTGGCATGCCAAATTTTTTTGGTGTGCCAGACACCCTATCTAAGCCGGTTTGCATTCTTTTGTAGTCCCCGAGTTTTCTCAGTTATACGAACGCTAGCAGATCTTCCAGGAATACTACACCCTAGTGTGACTTAAATTACAGATACTCTAATCCAATCATCTTATACAGGTTACCGAAACACAAATTTATTTTTCAAAATCGTCATCTGTGGGATTTAAACTCTAGACCTGCCACTTGAAGAGGGTGACGACTAAACCACTTCACTAAGCTGCCATGCCTCTACAAATAAATTATTAATTAAACCATTTAATCTTAATCACTATTTGTTTATAATCAAAGCTAAATTAGTTTAAGACCTTATAAGCTTTCTCACTGGTTGTAATTTCAGTTTATATTACAATCACCTGGTGCATAATCATAGTGTAATGTAACGCAGATCACTATGTAAATTACATAAGCAGGAAATGTAGAGATTTTTTGACAATTATTCAAAGAAAACTTTTTTCGTACTAAGTTAATTGGCAAGGTTGATTAATTGAAAGTTGTAAAGCTCACTGAGGCGCATCTAATGGTAGTTAAATAATTGAAATCGGCCTGGTGGTTCGCGAGATATCACTAAAATACGATTGGCCGACTATATAAAATCTCTATGTAAACAAACTATTGTTTATATAGAGATTTTATATAGTCGGCCAATCGTTTTTAGCGATATCTCGCGAACCACCAGGCTGATTTCGATGATTTAACCACCATTAGATGCGCCTCAGCGAGCTCTACAACTTTCAATTAATCAACCTTGTTGATTAACTTAGTACAAAAAGTTTTCTTTAAATAATTGTCAAAAAATCTCTATATTTCCTGCTTATGTAATTTATATAGTGATCTGCATCACATTACACTATGATCATGCACCAGGTGACTGGCAGATCATTAATTAAATTAATACTTCAGGGTTGTAGTGCTTCAGAGTAATGCTCCAGGTTAATACTTTGGATTAATGTTCTGGGTTATAAGAATAAGTTTGCTTCTAACTATACAATTTGGGTTTTGCTCCAGATTACTCTATATAGGTATAGACAGTTTTATTTCAAATAGTTAATAGATTTATAAAAATGCTCTATAGCTAACTCTCTTAATTTTTCCTCTATTTTTGTGATTGTTTTAACAATATATAAAGCAAAAAGTAGTTTCTAAATATATATTTAGTCCTTCTAAACAATTCATTTAAAGTTAGATAATATATATAATATATATATAACGATATATAGGAGTAAGTTAGTAGAAATGAGACAAATTTATTAGATAAATTTGTCCTATTTCTACTGACTCACCCCCATATTTTAGTAATTAATCAATTAAATTAAAAACTACTATGCTGTTTCAAGCTATTTTATATAGTGCAATTAAGATTTTGCTTCAGGTCATTCCAAATAAAGCAACTCAAGTTTTACTCCAGATTACTCTATATGTAGCAACTCAAGCTTTACTCCAGGTTACTTCATATAGAACAACTCAGGCTTTACTCCAGACTACTCCATATAGAGCAACTTGGTTTTTACTCCAGGCTATTTATATAGAACAACTCAGATTATAATAAATAACTTTGCTTCAAGTTATTATATAACTCTTAACTCACTTCAACCTTAAACTGATATATAATTCAGGTTGCTTTATTAATAACTCTACTCTGGGCTAGGGACTCTAGTTCTAAAAACAATGATTTTATGTAATTTATATAAAACTGCATAATATAATTAACAATATATAATAGATTAAATTTGCCAATAAAATATTTATATGCTATTCTAAAAAGCTCTGAATAGAAAATCAATTAATACAAATTACAAGCAAAGTTGTAAAAAAAATTGCAAATAAGATGGCAAGCAGCTATAAAACTTTGTATTTTATGTTATTTTATATTTAAGACACAGTATAATTATAAATTTTGAGTGCAAAATACTTTATAATTAAGAAAAAATATATATATAAAGATATATAATTGATAGTTTATTGCAGCATAAAATCAGACAAAAAAAGGTTTGGTTATATAATATAAACAGAAGATCTTTTTATGATTTTAAAAAGTTTTTTATATATTTGTAAAATTAAAATAAAAAAAATTATCAAATTTGAATAAATAGTTATTAAGAAATATTTACTAAAAGTTTTAAAAAATTAAAAAAATTAAAAATCAGATAAATTGTTTTTTTTTTACTTTAAATGAAGATTTTTTAACACCATCGATTTAAATTTAATAATTTTTTATTTTATTTAGTAGGTTTATAGAATTAAAACAAAAAAACTTAACAAAGTTAAATAGATGATTATTAAAATATTTTTACTAAAAGTTTTAGAAAAAATTAAAATTACTTGGTATAGAACCTTGAAATATATACAAAGGAGTAATGTTTTACAAAAATTACCAAATATAGAAAAACCAGCATAGTAGACTTTATTATAATAGATTAATTTTTAAAGATCATCTTATCGAAATAAAGTCTTATTAAAGTAACAATTTTTTGTTACAAGAGTATATAAAAATGATTTCAGAACCATGAATACAAATTTGAAAAGGTTGCAATATAAAAATTTAGAAACTACACCTTCAGTTCTATAATATACCAAAGTAATTTGGTAACTAATAAGGTAATTCAGAAGTTAAATAAGAGATATGTTTATGCATTTTAATTTAACCAATATAGTCTGTGATGTACTGTATTAGACTTGGTAAATTTAAGTCTTTTTGAAAGATTTACAACACTAATCTATTTTATTTATAACTTATTTTTATTTTTTTACAGATATGTAGTGCTAGTAAAATAAATTAGTAATATGAAATATTAAAAGTATAAATATGCAAGCTTATAAGAAGTTAAAATAGTATTATATTTAAAATTATTAAAAATAGTGTTATATTCAAGATTATTAATTTAGATTTATTTGCTAAAATAATTCAGTATTAATTAACTATTACATATTATATACTATTAAAAAAATCGTCTAATTATATACAACTCTTTTTGACGATCACTTGAACCAAATTTTACTGAAAAAACTTTTCAACAAAAACAGTAAAAAACTAATTAGTCAAAAGTACATAAGACGCAAAAATAGAAACCATAAGTCAGCACCTGTCATTTAGAGGTAGTTCTCATATGCTATTTGCTAACAGGCTTAGAGTTTATTACTCACTGCAAACCCGATGCTTGTTGTTTAAAGATAGTTCTTATATGCTATCTGCCGACAAGTTCAGAGTTTATCACTCACTGACAAAATATGAGTAGCACAGTTTTGGCTGAAAGGAGAACTTTTTCTGTTGTTTTTAGTAACTCACTTTCCTTTAAGTAGTATCAAGAGGTCTTTCTCTCTTTGTTATTTGGTACTGGTCCTACCAAAATTTTTCGATAAAAAGTGGGCATTTGGCTTACCCCCTCCAAAAGATTGGCATTGTTTACACCTACCAAATCAGGATGAACTTAGTAGAAGGCAACTATGTATTTTGTTGTTTTGCAAATACAGTGTTATAGTACAAGGAAGAGATCGCCACCCCTGTTTAGGAGATACTCGAGTCGAGTCAGTGTCTAGAACGAGTCCTAAAGCTAAACCGAAGGTTTAAATTGAGATATAGTAATTAGTTGCAATTATTATATAATTTTTATCCTTATGCCTGGCACGGGCTATAATAGTATGTCATGGCTACCTTTTTTTTTTTGTTTTTTTTTATCTTTGTTCATTTATGTTAGACTATTTTAGAATTTGTTGAAAAGCTTTTTTTTTCCCACCATAAGGTGTTTTTTTTTCTAAAATATTTATGTCTTTCATAAACATGGCTTTATTTTTTTTTACTTTTATATATGAATAGGGGTTTAATTATGTTATCAGGCTTAGATAGAAGAAGTCTGAAAGAAGAGGAGGTAGTTATAATAGACAGCAAGGTCTACTGTTAAGAGCCAGGTCATATCCAATTGCAGGAGGAGTCCAGAAA